TTTCTTTTTTTTTTATTTTGAGAGAGACAGAGTGAGTGGGGAAGGGGCAGAGAGAGAGGGAGAGAGAAAATCCCAAGCAGGTTCTGCACTGCCAGCACAAAGCCCAACATGGGGCTAGAACTCATGAAACCATGAGCTCATGACCTGAGCCAAAACCAAGAGTTGGATGCTTAACCAACTTAGCCACCCAGGCACCCCAGTATTTCTTAATTTTCAAACATATAAGAGGAGTTTCTTATCTTTTTATATTTAATCTCTAGCATTGTGATCTGAGAACATACTGTGTGTGATTTCATTTCTTTGAAATTTGTTGACATTTGCCCTAGTATATAGTCAGTTTTTATATGTCTACCATGCTGTGCTTAAAAAGATGAAGAATTGTTGGCTGCAGTATTGTATATGACTTTCATTAAGATCATTAATTCTGTTATTCAAATCATCTATATTTTTAGTGATTTTTTTCCAGATACTTCAATCACTTGCTGTGAAAAGTATGTTAAAATCTCCATTATAATTGTAGATTTGTGTCTTTCACTTTGTAGTTCTGTTAGTTTTAGTTTTCTCTATATATATTTTTAAGATTTAAAAATTTTTTTCTTTAGAGAGAGTGTGTGAGTGGGGGAGAGAGGCGGAGGGAGGGCGGGAGGGAGAGAGAGAGAGAGAGAGAGAGAGAGAGAGAGAGAGAGAATCTTAAGGAGGTTCCATGCTCAGCACGGAGCCTGATGCAGGGCTCAGTCCCATGACCCTGAGATCATGACCTGAGCCGAAATCAAGAGTCAGATGCTCAACCAACTGAGCCACTCAGGCACCCCTCTAGATTTTGAGACTATTATTAAGGACTAAAAACAGGATGATTGTTTCCTGATAAATTCTTGATAACCTTTGTCTCCTAGTGTTTTTACCCTACAGTGTACTTTGTATTATGTTTATTTACCTTGTGTCATAAATAATGGGACTGTTGCTCCACCACATTAATGCCAGTTTCATGTGGGCAGTAACTTAAAATTTTTTTAAGTTTGTTTATTTTGAGAGATAGAGTACAAGTTGGGGAGGGAAAAAGGGAGGGGAAGAGAGAGAATCCCAAGCAGGCTCTGTACCCAGTGCTGAGCACAACCCGGGGCTCAGTCTCCTGACCGTGAGATCATGACTTGAACTGAAATCAAGAGTTGGACACTTAACCAACTGAGCCACCTAGGTGCCCCTAAATGTTTCTATATACTCAGCACCTATGTAGGCACTCAATGGTGGAATGGTTGGTTGGGGGCATCATCAGGTGTAGAAAGTTAAGTTTAACATACTACTTCAGTTCATGGTATTATCATTGGTTTATGCAAGGGCCCTCTACTGACTATTGGTTGGTTAGTTGGTTAATTTATCTTTTAATCATTCTTCCCCTGTGTAGGCAGCTGGCCTAGTGTGTTTGAAATATGCCATGGAGTTGTGAGTATCCTTGTAAAAGATGTAATGTTGACTTTTGGTGTATGCACTTTTATTTGCATAAAGGCATGGTGTTAGAGACCTTATTATATACCTTGCTTTTAAAATAGTCAATACCATATTTCAAAAGTTTACTTATGTGTCTATATTTTTAATGATGCTCAAAGATTCAACTGCTTTGGCTTTCCTTGGTGTGCTTACCTGTTTTGCTTATTCCCTGGACTATAATTTTGAACTTGTAATTTATGATTTAGGAAGAGATAAATTCAGTCAATAAATATCTAGTAATGATGATTATTATAAGTACTTACATTCTTTGAATCTTCCCTAATTGTGCTTGCCTTTTTGTTTGTTTTTTGTTTCTTGTTTTTTTTTTGTTTTTGTTTTTTTTTAAGCTCCTGGAGCCCTCCTGCACTCTCAGCTCACAGATCTCTTACATGCTTGCTCTCTGTCCCGGGGTTAAATGAATTTTAGCATTAGTCTCTCTTCCCTGCAGGTTGGAATATTGTGGTTTGACCTCCCTGTGTTGTCAGGATCTCTCCTCTACTCTTAGAAGGAACCAAAACCTGATAAAAATAAACCTGACACAGAACACTTTAGGGTATGAAGGAATTATGAAGTTATGTGAAGTCCTGAGATCTCCTGAATGTAAACTGAAAGTTCTGGGGTAAGTCTTTGTTCGCTTCTCAGGGCGTAAGTTTACTGGAACAAGGGATTTGGGAAGCTACTTGTTCACTGCAGGCCTAAGAATCAACCTGATTGTGGATCTGTGCATATTCTTGAGGCCCTTCTTTTCCTCCCGTAGGACACTGAATTTTAAGAGACATACTGTAGCATACTGGTTAACAGCTGAGAATTCTAAAGCCAGACTACCTGAGTTTGAAATGTAGCCCTGGAACTTACTAGATATTTGAACTTGCACTAGTCTCCAGTCTCTGTATTTTGATTTCTTTGTCTATAAATGGGTGAAATGATATGTACTCATGGTTTATTATGAGGACTAATCGACTGAGTCAGTATAGGCAGTACAGGTGTCCCTCTGCTATCTGAAGGTAGAGTGTTCCCGTGAAAGCTTTCATAAGCCAAAATGATATAAAGCAAAGAAGCAATTACCATTATTTATATGGAAAAAAATTTGAGCATTCCTGGGCCCCCAAAAACATCCTCTCTTTTAGGCTTTTCTGATACCTTAGGACACATCTTGTTAACACATGCACAAAATAAATGGGTACGAGGCCCAGATGCTCATAGACACAGTTCAGAGCTGTAGCAGCTGGGTGCTGAGGTGCAGTGCAGGCCCTGGGGAAGGAGCTGGGCAGGGCTGCTCTTGCTGCCTGGTTCATGCTGCCTCCATAATGGCTCACTGCATCCCAAATGCTGAACACTGGTTTTGCTTTTTAACTTTTTTGTGTGGTAAAAGCAAAATCTTTGGACTTCTTTCAGTTATCAAAAACACGTACTGGGGCGCCTGGGTGGCTCAGTCGGTTAAGCGGCCGACTTCGGCTCAGGTCATGATCTCACGGTCAGTGAGTTCAGGCCCCGCGTCGGGCTCTGTGCTGACAGCTCAGAGCCTGGAGCCTGTTTCAGATTCTGTGTCTCCCTCTCTCTGACCCTCCCCCGTTCATACTCTGTCTCTCTCTGTTTCAAAAATAAATAAACGTTAAAAAAAAAAAAAAAAAAAAAAAAAAAAAAAAAAAAAAAAAAAAAAAAAACACGTACTAATGTCGGTCTCTCAAAAAGGTGAAGTGGTACAGCCATGACCTTTGGAAAAGCAAAGGATACCTGTACTTAGAACTGTGCCTAGCATATAACACCTAACTGTTTTCTATGTTAGCGGTTGTCATCATTAGAAGTAGTATTTTGCTTGAGTAGAAAAAGGTTCTTGGAGGATCCTCTTCAATTTTAATCTTTTTTTATTTCTACTCTGTGTTCCATTTTCCTTCCTCTGCCACACTCCCTGAGTCTATACCTCACATTCCCCTTGCCCCACTCCCCAGCCATGTTCACTTCTGTCTCTAACAGTTTTTCTCTGAGAAATGAATTCTTCAGTGGGAAAACTGAGTGTGAGAAGAGGTGTTCCCTTATTTTCTCAGGGTGTGCAAAGAGGCGTTTGATGAGGAAGCCCAGAAACTGCTGGAAGCTGTGCGAGTTAGCAATCCACAGCTCATCATTGAGCGGGATTGTAATGATCACAGTGATGAAGATGTTTCCTGGTGGCGGTGTCCCTGATTTGAAGAACCTGATGTACTTTTCAAAAGTAAATGCCTCAGTGTGATGAGGGAATCTTAGCTTTAGATGCTTTATGCCCAGACGTACTGTGTTTGATGTCTGTTAGATGTAGGTGAGTCACTTCTCTGTGAAAGCTCTGTTCTACTTCACATGGGGGTTGAGAAGCTAAAATAAAACGAAAAACCTAAACCTTGGTGAAAGGTATGACATGTTTTTAATTGAATGCAGAGCTCAAGAATTCTGATGTGAGAAGCCTAGAAATGAAAGTGGAGGACGAGCCTAGGGAAGATTGTTAGAGCACCTGTTTCCCTTTCTCTCCCTCCCACAGATGGCTTACTTCACAGCCTCACCATCTCCGGCTTGCTTTACTGAATGCTTCTCCATGCATGTTCTTGGGACAACTGGCGTCTAAATCACTTGGGTGTTTCTTAAAATGCGGTTTCCTAGAGCCCATATCGGACTTACTGAATCAGAGTTATCTAAAGGTCCTAGGAACTGGTATTTTAAATAATTTCCCAGGCAACTTTTAGGTATGTTACTATGTGAGAATTGATGGTCTCAGTCAAAATGGGAGTCCACTTCCTCCATGAACATTTTCTGCAGCCTGTTGTAAAGATGTAAATAGATCTGTAAATAGATCTAAGATTATTGGGATTAGAGCTAAAAACATGTTCCTCCATTTGACAGAAATCCAACACAGTAACATTTTCTGTGAAAGACTTTTAATTATCTATTGCTATGTGAAAAATCATCCCTAAATTTATTGGCTTAAAGGAGTGACTACTATGTTCTGTCTCATGACTTGGTAGATTTCAGAAAGGGCTCAGCTAAGCATTTTTTATGCTCCACACATCACTTGGAATCCCTTGGTGGTATTCAGCTGGTAGCCAGGTTGTACTGGGGGCTCCAAGGTGACTTCACTCACATGCCTGGTGCCTGGGCAAGGATGGCTGGAAGGTTAGGTTTGACTGGGCACCTCTTCTCTCTAGTCTTAAGGACTTTCCACATGATCTTTCCAGCAGGGAAGATGGAGTTCTCTCATGGGGCTTTAGGGCTTGAAGGGCCAAGTGGAAGCTGCCTGTTTTCTTGAAAGTTAGGCCCAGCACTGACATGAAGTCACTTCTGTCATACTCCATTGGTTGGAACAGTCCAGGCCAGCCCAGATGCAAGGGTAGTCACTTCTTGATGGGCATAGTGTCAGAGAATTTGTGGCCTTCCTTAGTCTACCACAGACTATCAATTTTTTCTCCCTGTCTATAGGAGATAAGAAAGCCTTTTAGGTGGTACAATAGCCCCTTGAGTCAATGTGGCAGAGCTGGAGGTAAGAGTGAACCATGGCAGTTAGAAGGGGGCAAGTGGCAGCCATGGGAAAATTCGCAGGTAGTGTTACTGGGGCTAGTATGTACACCTATGATGCCTAGAGGGAGGTCACTGCTGAGGCTGATTCTCAGTGTTGACAGTCATGCTGGCTAAAGAGAGCTCGCCTGGGGCCATCATAACAAACAAAAGAAAGTCTGCAGTGAACAAGTGGCACTCCCATCACAAGGCAGTCTTGGGTTGCAGTGAGCATCTTATCCTTCGTAGAAAATAAGATTTCCAAGCTTCCCAAGTAAAACTCTAACAAAGGAGTTAATAAATGCTTCTTATCAAGGTGATTTCTATCAAACTTTCAGGCAAAGGAAAATTCCTGTGTTTTTAAAACCATTTCAGAGCATCATTGAGGAGGGTAACTTTACCATTTTCTTTATTAAGCTACAAAACTTTGATAGCAGAGCCTCAAAAAAGATAACACCAGAAGGAAATTCACAGTTGGATGTTACTTATGAATACATATGCAAAGACTAAATATAAATATTGGAAAATTCCAAAATTCACCTTAAAGATACAATGAATGGGGCTCCTGGCTGGCTCATTTGGTAGAGCACGTGACCCTTGATCTCCAGCTCATGAGTTTGAGCCCCCCATTGGGTGTAGAGATTATTTAAAAGTAAAAGCTTTAAAAGTATATATATATATATGTGTATATATACACATATATATATATACACATATATATTCGTGGTGTATATATATATACATATATGTATATATGTAAATCATAATATTCGTGGTGTATATATATATATACACACCACGAATATTATGATTTACAACAGAAGTGCAAGAGAGGACAAATATTAGGAGGAATGTTATAATTTATGGTATCAGTTGGTTGATGGAGAAAGACCAAATAATCACTTCAGTATATTATGTTGATAAGGCATTTAATAACATTCAGTCTTATGTTGTCAGGTACTTTCATAACATGATAAAGAATTTTTACCCTGAACTATAACCGTATATTAGAAGCACTGACATAACTAAATTTTGGAAACACAGCTTGTGTGTCACTGCTATCAGATAACCCATCAGTCAGGATTAGGGTGATGGGAGGCACTTACTGGAGGGTGGAGGGGACTAGGATGGGTGTAGTACAAGTGCAGGGTCAGACACAGTCTCTAAATTTTTGGTATTTGGTTATCATGGGTATTTTGTGTTAATTTTGATTTACAGAATATTCCACTAATTTTTTTTTTTTTTTTTTTTTTTTTTTTTTGAGAGAGGGCTCAAGTGAGTGAGGGGCAGAGAGAGAGAGAAGTGGGGCTCACTTGGGGCTTGTGTTTTTACCCGAAGTGGGTTTGAGCTGACCTAAAACAGGGATGTGGGACTTGAACTCAAGAACTGTGAGACCATGACCTGAGCGAAAGTCAGATACTTAACAACTGAGTCACCCAGGCGCCTTTCCACTAAAATGTTTACCTTGATTGAATTTTTCCGTATCTCCTTAAATTTTGTGTATCACCCAAGTCACTGCCCTCATCCTAAGTCGAGCCCTGGAGAAGGAAGGGCTTGAAATTTCAAATAGTATAGTTAAGGAGTCAAAAAGGATAGTCCAAGAATCAAATAGGGTGACCAAAACAAACTTTAGCTTTGTTGGTTCTTTATTTTTTATACTTTAACATTTTTGTATTTTTATTTTTTTTAAGTTTATTTATTATGAGAAAACACATGCACACAAGCAGGGGAGGGGCAGAGAGGAGTTGGGATCCCAAGCAGGCTGCAAGCTGTTAGCACAGAGACTGACACAGGGCTCCACCTCATGAACTGTGAGATCATGGCCTGAGCCCAAATCAAGAGTCAGATGCTTAACCCACTGAGCTGCCTGGGTACCCATGTACATTTTGTATTTTATGTAAATTTATTTTGTAAATTTTTCTGTTAATTTGTTCTGTCAGAATGCTAACTTCTTAAGTTAGATTCTTACTGATTTCTAGCTTTTTTATTACAAGCATTAAGGCTGTAAATTTCCCTCAATTTATATTTTAGCTGAATTTCAATGCTTGAATATGGAGTATTTTCATTAGCATTCATGTCCAAATATTTTGACTTACACTGGAATTTTTTTTTCTGTGACCCATATGTCATATAGTGTTACAGCAAGTACTCAGCACCCAGGAAGAGACAAGCAACAGGCACTCGGGGAATCAGAAAAGACTATTTATTTCACACCAGTGCCAGCCCAGCAGAGTCACCTCTGGGCTGAGCATCTGGCTCGGGTTTTACTGATCTTTTATACATAATGTGCTTCCGGGTTGGGCGGGACTAGCATAGTCAAACTACTGGCTGCTGGCTGATACAAGAGGCAAGCAAGATTGCAGAAGCTAAAAGCATGCCAAGGCAGTATCCAACCTTGGACATCTGGCTGGCCCTTTTTATCTGCATTTACCAGCTTTCCTTCTCAATAGAAGTGTGATTATAATTTCTGGACTTAAGCGTTTTTAAAGTTATCTTTTTGTTATTTTTTAACCTAATTGAGTTATGATCAGATAGTGTGTTCTGTTTGAAAATATTTTTTTGAAATTAGTTAAAATAGATTTTATATCCTATTATATAATCAGTTTTCTATGTGTGCTTGAAAAGAATGTACACCTTCCCATAATTGAGTGCCTGTACATATGTATATACACATATACATCCATTAATCTTTTCATTTTGCAGTTCAAATCTTCCTATACTAATCTTTGTTTAATCTATCAATTATTAAGAATATTTTCTTCTAGAGGCCTCTGGGTAGTTCGTCGGTTGAGCGTCTGACTCTTGATTTCGGCTCGGGTCATGATCCCAGGGTCATGGGATCAAGCCCTGCGTTGGGCACCATGCTGAGGATGGAGCCTGCTTACCCTCTGCCCCTCTCCCCTGCTGGTGTGCTCGCTTGTTCTCTCAAATTAAAAAATTTAAAAAATATATTTTTTCCTAGTATTAGAAGAATAAGTCTTCTAATATGATGGAATTCCCCACCCCACCCCCCACCCCCGCCATAGCTTAAACTTTTTGCTTTAGATATTTTGCAGCCGTGGTTATGGGGTAAATGTGATAGAACTATGTCACAGGGGGATTTGAACTCCCCTATTGTCAGCTTAGCAACCAATGAAAAAAGAGTTCTTGTATTCCACTGCTTTGGTTTAAAATGTCTTCCAAAGACTAATTGGTCCAGCATGTATCCAGTGATGCAGTAAAATATCATTTTCAAGAATTTAAAATCATGGTTCTTACTTAAATGCGGAATGAGCACTTGTCCAAAGACTCATCGATGCGGTAGTAAGAGAACCAGTGAGGTGTTGATTTGAAAAGCATTTAAGGAACAAAGGTTTATATATCCACCAGAAATAGCATTTTTAAAAAAAGTTAGAATAACATTTCAAGGGAAATATAAAACTGGTTAATGTCCAACAAGGTAATAAATAACCTTTGGGGTTATCTTTTCAATCTTACAGCAATCATTTGCATTGCTAGCTGACAAGAATTATTTGCATTGCTGTCAGGTTTCTGCATAGAATCTGTACCCTTAGTTGTGAATCTCTTCATCAAATAGCTAATTGAGAGTCAAAGAAATGAGGCTTATTAAAACATTTAAGAGTTTGAGGGGAAATTAATTTGAACTGTGCAGCACCAGACTGGAAGTGGCAAGAAGGGCTCCAGAAGACAGGAGAAAGTCTTTTAATGGGAGAAATGTGAGAGCAATACAAAGAAATTATTTGGGTACAGTGGAAGTATTACATTCCTTATTTGGAAAAGCCTCGGTTAGGCTATTTGAGGTTGGTTGTCCTTAGGTTTCCATTTAACCTTGAGGCTGTTACAGGCTTATATTTTGATTTGCTTGGATAGGTGTCATGATACCACAATGCCAGTTGTATTCAATCATAAAGTTAACATAATTATGAAGCAGGTTCAGAATTCCAAACTCCATGACCTTTCACTCTGATTAATTGGGCTTCTTACACGGCACACAAAGCAATGCACAAAACAAGTTCTAGAGCAAACAAGATAGACCAGCGGGTAGGAAGTTAACCAAATGCGAAGCCAGTGTATACTTATGTCCTCAGCCCCATGGGAGTCAGCTCTCAGCACTTAACTGCTTATTATGTTCAAGCAATGAAGGATCTCTGTTCTCTTCAGAGATACGTCAGGGAGAGCCTTCAGCAGCAGCTGCCTTTTTGAAATGACCAGACATGAGGAGGTCAGTGTTTGGAGAGTCTGACAGTTTGCTGCAAAAATCCTACCTTTTTAAAGGTGTTTAGTCAGTCTTGGGCCCCTGCAAACTTCCTCTGTTTCTGCTGGTTATAAGTTCTGAATGTGTCATCACCCGGTGCTGGTCTTGGCAATATCTGGTCTCAACTGAAATGCCCTAACTGCTTGGGTCATTGCTTAATACAGGCCATTACTTGATAAGAGAGATGCCATCTTGCTCTCCCTAACCTGCTGCTAACATATTAGAACCACCTCAGTCTAATGGCACTGATGTGAGAAACAAAGGCAGAAGGAAATAGCAGATAAAATTAAATTTCCTTACAACCTGCAGCCCATTGACAAATACTTGAGGCCTGCAGAGTATAACATTTCTCCAGGAACTCCCTACTGTCTTAATGTTAATGCTCTGCTAGAGGGAATAAACAACCTTAGATTGACAATAGCTAGGTCTTCAGTATCCTGGGACTCTTCTTTAGCATAAGAAAATCCCTTTAGAAATTTCCCCTTCACTTTACCTCCCCCAACTCCCATATATAATCAGTCACTCCTTAACAACCCTAGTGCAACTTTTTCTGTCCATGGGTCCTGTCTGAGTGCTTTCATAAAATCACCTTTTTGCACCAAAGATGTCTCAAGAATTCTTTCTTGGCCATTGGCTCTGGACCCCTACCACCACGCCAAAACTCCCTTAGCCACCTTGTTTAATGTAACAGAAATACACAGCCCTAGAAAATCAGATAATTCCCAGCCTGGTAGACCATGCCTAGCACTGAAATGAAAGGATACCCAGTAATCCCTTTTGCCTACTTTAA